TGTCCATGCGGGTACTTTACTCGGAAACAAACGGTGAGATGACGACTACAATAGAGTTGTTTATAAGCAGTACCGATTCATCTATACGTTGCAGGTTACCCACAGGGTTCATTTCCTAAATTTTTCTCTTCCTCGCCAGGCATCTTCGGAATTTTTGCTCGAAATCTGATCGCTCGCAGTGGCAGTAAAGCCGATTCGTTCACTCTGTTGGACGACCGAGGTTGCCCGACAGACTCTGCCATTTTCCCTGCGCTCGAGAAGGTCAGCGATGATTCCAAGTCACTCATTGCTCCTTTCGAAGCATTCAAGTTCACTGCGGATTCCGTCGTCCGTTTTCAAGTCAACATCCAATTCTGCCTCACCGATTGCCCCCCGGTAGTATAAAACTCTCTCTTCAAAGACCACAGTCATTTTATTCCCACGCCGCGAACTTTTTATTGCAGGCTCGTTGCGGCGCTGTGGACTCCCACGGACGCAGAAAAAGACGCAGCAGTTTCTTGCCGCATCAAGGCAAGCTGAGTGACATCTCCAAGCTGCGGAAGGACTTGCTGCTGCTCTCTGTGCAGTACAGGGCAGACCTACTGCTTCTCGTTCTTTAGAACAAAGTACTTTGAGGCGACGTTTTCCTCTAGTAGCACCTGTCGTCACGCCACGTAACTTCTTTGGACCCCGACAGCGACCGTCATGGTAAACCCCCGTATTCATCGATTCGTCACGAGAGTTTTCTCAGAAGTCTTGCGAATCACTTCTAAATCGCCAGCATAGCTGCTCTTTTTCAATTTTTTCTTGCTGCTCCATTAAAAAAAGCATCCAAATGCGCCCGGAAGAACTAGGAATATAAATGCAATTAAAATCGGTTATATAAGCTGAGGGGGTACCCAAAGCGAGAAAGCTCATATTCCAAGACTCTTGGTGGTCTGAAAGTTAGAGACGCTCCGGAAAAAATGTTTGAAAATGCATTTGGGGGAAAAATACCAACACCATATCATAGGTGATGGGCACCTTTGAAAATGAGGCGGAAAATTATTCTGTAAATTATTTTTTGAAATGAAGGGCCATCCCTTTGTTAAAAATTTGCTCACTATGACTGCAGCTGTTAAAGGAGGCATATATGGGAATCCTAAATCAGCAGTTATTGTGACACATTCTCGGGAAAAATATAGGATATTTTTAATCACAAAAAGTATCATCGCAAAAAAACTACAGCATATGCATTTATTCCAAGGTCTTACTGATATATTTTTCACATTGATCAACATTTGAAGTCGCTCTAATCATTTTTTTTTCTTCAGCTTCTTCTGTTTGTCATAGATTGAACTTTTTTTTTACACTTGAACGAAAACAGACCACCAGGTTTCATCCGCCTAACTTGCATATACGTTTTTGAAATTTTTGAGGGGGAGATTATGAAACTTTTTTGGTCGTTGCATAAATTTGAGTACTGCACATAGTGCAGAGGGCATTTTTCAAGCATCGAGTCCCGTGGAAAAAAAAGTCGATCATCCGAAACCATATAATTGCGATAATTTGTCTCAATATACTTTGCTCTATCTTGAATAGTAAAATGAAAAATTTGAATAATGCACCGTAAAAGTTTGAATCTCAATTCCTATGAAAGAAAAGCATGGCCGTAAATTTATGCTGTCCGCTGCTTCTGATGTTTTCTCCCTCGCACATTATTTTCTTGTACCGTATATCCTAATGATTTACTCGGCGGTTCCATCACCAGTGGCGGCAGCAGCAACCGGGGAGCTGATTTGCACAACCAAACCCGTGGTCATCGCATCCATCTTGTCGACCGCCATCCTGCAGGTCTGCGTCGTGATTGTATGCGTCCTTTGCATTCAAGCCCAACGCAAACGAACCAAAGACGAAGTTCCTCATCCGGCGTTTTCAATCCGGACGCGATCCGCGCCGGTGTCTTCCGGCATCGAAATCAACTACGGAAGCAACACCGGCCGGGCGTGCAGCTACTCCAGCTCTCGAAGGCCGGCGGATTCTTTGCATTCCGTCGGTTTGCACGAATGATAACGATCTCGATTCCCGCTGAAATTCCTCGCTCGTCACGCTACGTCGTTTTTATCCATGACTGCAATTCCTCGCCTTCCCGAATCTACGTGGGCATCCTGACACCCAATTGGTTTCTCGCTTCCGCGAATCGAACCCTGCTGCGGCGGCGACGCGTCGAGGCGGAGTTTGCCTGATGGAGGATTACCCGGAAGTCGTGGCAAACTTCGTCACGGATGATGGACGGAGCCAAGCTGCTGCCGGATTTCCTTCTCTGTTGTAAAGGTGTCTACGCTTGGACGTTTGAGTCTAAACTCGTGCCAATCTGCTTCCAATTTTTAGGGCGACAGCTGACACGCGATCTTCATTCAGTTTTGTTGCGATGTTGTTAGATGTAGTGTGTCTATACCGCCAGACTTGTTGGCTGCGCTCAAAACGACCCCAACAAGCCCTGTGAAAAAGAATGACGCTCTAAGATCTTGTTGAAATCTCATGTGGCCTGTGTTAGTGGAGCGTTTTATGCGATCGATCCCTACGAAAAGTGTTGAATGTTATTGGCTCGAGATCGTTTCGTTATTGTTGCGAATTATTATTTCGTAGGTGCTTGGAATTCAATGCGTAATCTTAAACCATCTTGATTTATCTCAATAATTTCCTAATACAGTACTGTATGTCTTATATTCGAGCGTCTCGTCAGACGTCTTATATAGGAAAAAAATATTTTGACGAAATTCTCAAGCAAGTGTTGCAGTGCTGCACGACGTTTGGGTCTCTTACGGAACATGAATCGAAACAAGGAATGTTAATTAAAGATGAAAAGCTTTGTGTTTTCGCAGAGCTAAAAAGCTTGATGGTGGGCTCTAATTACCGATACATGTTCCTTGAAGTGCGGTACAGCAGTGAATTATGGGCAATTACGTTAGCTATAGCCGGAGTTTACAAGCTATAGGGCTTCTGGAAATCGCCCTTGATGCACTTTCGGGAATCAGACTTCCGAGAACGAATAAAATTCGAAAATGCACGATCCCGTGATGCGTATCACGTTGTAAACTGGGATTCACGGATGAGTGCATTTTTTCTCTCTATTTTTTCGGGCTTTTAAAGATGTACTGTAACAAGGATCAGATGATGTACTGTATAATCGTCGCGATGAAAAGGGAGTCATCGATGAAATGTAAAAGAACCGATCGGGATGTGAAAATAGACGAGTTTCTGGAAACCACGCAGTTCAGTCACTGTTTCCGGCAGAGGAAGAAATATCTGGAAAACAGGAGATGGAAGTCAGCTCGACGATATATAACGCTTCAATGGCGGGATGTAGACATGCGACTCCGTTTGCACAAGAGTCGTACTGGGACCCCTCTTGGCATGGCATGCTTCCCAAGGCAGCCTGCCCCAGCATTGTCACCAAGTTGTGATCCAGATTCCCTGCTTTCTCTCCCTATCGGCACTCGAATTTCTCGTATCGCGGGTCTCACGAGGAAAGTCCGCTGAAGCGATAGTTTCATTTATCAGCTTGGGGAAAAGCTTCGAAATTTCCGTGTTCATCGCCTCGTTCGCGGCCAGCAGCGATAGCTCGTAAATATTTGATGCTGTTCAGCTTGCGGATGGTGAGGATAAAGGCGCCCGAAAGGATCATAGCCCACGATTGTCAGTCGTGGCCAGATGTTTGCCACTCGTATGCACTTCAGTACAGTACTGTACTTCGCATCTAAGAAAAAGCACATTTGCACTTATTATTGTTGACTTTTTTGTAAATACTAGATTAAAAACCTTGAGGGCTGGCAGTTATCCGGGATAAACTTCCTCAAGAAAGTTCGCGTCGCCTGTACTGTTACGAACTCTTGCACACAATGTACAAGTTCATGTTCCCGAGCTTTTCGTGTCCAGGGATCGACTGGTGAGTTAGAATTGAATATTCTCTGGACTCGCAACCACTTTTTCAGACATGAAAAAGCCATTTTTTTATGTTTCAGACATGAAAAAGCCCCAGAACCACATTTTTTTCATTATTGATGTCTGAAATCTACAAGACTTGTTGAAAAAAAAGGTTTTGCAGGAGTCCTCAAAATCACTCGCACGACATACTTGATGAAAATGTGTGCTGAATGAAAGGTAGCAGATTAAACTTGCATAATTACTGTATTGTTGGTTCATGAAAAGTGTCATCATCCCTTTCCACAAAAAAGCAAACAATATGGAAGCCTAAAAATATAGTAACAAGACTGAGACAACTAATTCTTGGTGACATGGACTTCAAAGGGAAATGGCTGCAACCGCGGTAAATATTAGCACAGTATAGTGTACAAACTGTACATGAACACCGAACATTTTTTGCAACGAAGTTTGTTGATGATATCTGACCATCCTAATCCTAGGAATCGTGTTCGCGTTATCAGAATCAACTCGATGTATACATGCTGAGCATGTATTCGACAGCATGTCTTCATGGAAAAGATTTTTCCTCATCGTCATGCCAATACAGTTCGACCATAAAATTGATCTATAAAATAGGCTTACGATACAGTGATATACATTCTGTACTGCTGTATGGTTTGACATCACGTTTTCTTCGTTTCCATCAAGACTCTAGCAGGAAGCTCATAAATTTTTGCATGCATCACTGCTTGAAAATCATTCACTTTTTCGTTCGCAATTCACGAGGAACGATTGTAAAATGCAGTTAATATCTTCTGTAGAGTGTATGAACCACGTACTGTACTGTATTCTGAAATGGCAGACCCCTGAAAGTCCTGCGAGCTACATATAGGCGGCAGGATACAATAACACATGTGCTTTACAAGTGATGACACGTTTTCTGACTACCCCATCAAGTTTTCGATGACGGCAAATGTCAATGGAAAATAAACGGCACCGTGCATTGTTGTTTGCTCACAGCTTGTCAGGTCTCCGATTTCCCTGATGCATGACGCACCTCAGTGTCAAGGTTTTCTTGACACATGATAACGTTTTATATGCCTTTTAACTTTCTACGCTGATAAAGCATCTGCGACTCAGTAAGGTTTTAAATCTTATTCGAAGCAAAGCGTTGGAAGTGTCTGCTGAGTTGTGGATTAACTCTGCTGGTGAGCTCGGGTTGAAAACGGATTTGAAACGAGTTGAATAAAGGAGGCGTGATAAAAAAAATTATTCGGAGACATGGAGGCAATGCGGGATTACTTGCTGCAGCATGGACAAGAACACCTGCTGCGGGTCGAGACCCTTTTGAGTGAAGACGAGAAGGAAAATCTGCTCTCCCAAATAAATTCGTAAGTCCTCAGAATCGTACAACGACAAGCACGGACCAGATTAATAAACAAGGCTTCGATTTCCGCAAGAATCGACATCCCGAAGATGGTGACGAAATTCCGTCAAAGTTTGGAAACATTCGAACACGCATCGTCAGCTCAAATCGACGTCCAACTGAAGCCTCCAACAAACGTCCTACGCTCTGTGACCCGGACGTCAGCGAAACAACTGGAGGAGTTCAGAGAAAGAGGTGATAGAGTTCGATGAGGGAACGATTCGTTTCTGGTCCGCATTGCAGTTGACAGCAACGGAAACGCACCTCGTTGATTCTTCCAGGCTTGCTTGAAATCGCCGAGGGCCGCGTTGGCGTGGCACTTCTGGCTGGCGGACAAGGAACCCGTTTGGGAGTTAATTATCCGAAAGGAATGTACGACGTGGATTTGCCGTCGCATAAGACGCTTTATCAAATACAGGCCGAACGGATCCTGAGGTTGCAAACGCTTGCCGAGAGGAAACACGGGAAACAATGCTCTATCCCTTGGTAAACAAGCATAAAAGAGATTCGTTCTAAAATTTCAGGACTGAGTTTGACCGGTTAGCTCTCAACTCCTGTCTTTATAACCAAATCGAAAGTTTTGGCTTGTATGCCATTGTATATAGTGGGGCCTTGAGCAACGAACATAATCCATTCCATAGTGGTTGGTTTGTTGCTTAAAAGGTTGTCAATCTCAGGATTTCCCGTGGTAACCTATGGTAAATCAATTACAGTAATGCGTTCCAGGCAAATTAAGTACGGTACTGTACTATGGTAATGTTAAAAATTCATTAAAAATTGAAAAAAAAAATTACAGGTTAGCATAGCAGCCGTTAATAATTTTAACATGAAAGTGAATTTTGCTGGTTAACCGGGAGTAAAATAAAGAGGCATTAAAATGCATTTAGAATTTTCTTTCAAATTCTTGCATAAAACAAAAAATTTCAGTTTTTTTACAGTTTTCTCGTTGATTTGAGATGTATTCCTCAGGCCAAGTTCGTTGCTCAAGAAAAATGGTGGCCGAGTTCAGATTCGTTATGTAGGAAATTTGCTGCTTAGGGTGTTCGTTGCTTGAGGACTTGCTATATTTGTGTATGCAGTATTATTGGTCGTTAAAATAGATTATATTTTAAACAGCAATCATCATCCACGTTTAATGGTTTGTGATATACCCCAAATATGTAATATTAAATTTCACTCGAAAATCTTTCGAGTAATTCCATATTCGATAGTTTAGTATGAAAAGCATTTGAAAAAATTACATGAAGAGAAATTAAATCACCCTTTACTTGTCAAGTGGCATGAAGGGTTCCACACACACGCACAAGATTGTCCTGTTCAAGCCCCTCTTTTCGTAACCCCTGTGGAAGCGCTATTCAGATTTCCTGCTTTAAAGTACAGTATATTCCTGTGAAACCCCTTTATTTTAAAAGCCGAAAACTGAAGTTTAAAAAGTCAATGCATTATTTTCATAAGAACCGTGCACAACGAGTGCATAGCATTTTCAGGGAAGAGGCATGCAGAAAGCTGACTACCAATATTAATTCAGAAACAGAACCATCATAACCTTCCTCTTATTGTTAAAGAAAATAATTCTTGCACAGTATTACCAAAAATCATCAGATACTTCCAAAAATTCCCATACAACCCAGAAACGTTATATTCAAACATCGAAACTATTTTCCTGGCCGCGACTGCGATGAATCATTGAAAGTCATGCATGAATAGGACAATTTTCGTAAAGGAGCCGTTCAGACTTATTACTGTATACACAGCTTAAAAAATAAGAAAGCACGGGGTAAATTTCTGATAGCTCAAACTTCAGGGCAGATCCTTAAATTCAAGGATCGGTTCATTTTATTTTTGCACCCATCGCAATAAAAAGTCTACAGCAGTACTGCAGTTGTATCTTTATACGTAAGCCAATTCGAGTCCATTTTGGAAAAATTATGGAAATCGTAAGGGAAAACTTCATTTTGGCTTAGTGAAGCATCCTGTTTTCCGTGGACAAATTGGAATTATGCAAATATTCAGACTTTTTGCATCATGCAAGGGTGCATGCGATGCAAAAAGTCTGAAGTTTTGCATGATTCCGAGGGATATTTAGAAATCCGCATCGGTCGAGGATTTTTTTTTTTATTCTCGAGCGCGGCAGAAAACAGTGTCTCGTCTGCTAAATTAAGAACGCCACAACATGACAGAGCAATCATTTCTTTCGGCCAAACCGGAATACGATTTTCTACTTCATTACGCTTCTGCATTTATTTAATCTTTACCGCTCTTCCGCTCCATTTCGCTTGCTTTCTGGAAACTTTCACGATAAGAAGTTGACGGAAATGGGATCGATCCCTCGGAATTCCTGGTATAATCGAACCGGGGATTTTCCTCCGGCTGCAGGTACATCATGACAAGCGGGCACACGAAGGAACCGACCCTGCAATTCTTCCGGAAGCACAATTTCTTCGGGCTGAAACCCGACAACGTCATCATCTTCAACCAAGGCCAAGTCCCGTGTTTTTCGTTTGATGGCAAAATCATGCTGGAGGCAAAAGGCAGGATCGCATGCAGTCCCGACGGCAACGGGGGTCTATACCGTGCCCTGCGTCAAGAAGGAATTCTGCAAAGCATGCGAGACAGACGTCTCAGCTGCGTGCACGTGTACTGCGTGGATAACATTTTAGTCAAGGTTGCTGACCCAGTTTTCATCGGGTACTGCCTGACTGAGGGAGCCGACTGCGGAGCTAAAGTAGTGCCGAAAGCACATCCGGAGGAACCTGTGGGAGTTGTTTGCGAAGTCAACGGAAAATACCAGGTAAAAAAGAGCAAAGAAAAAGTGCTCAGATTCACGACGTTTTTTGTTTCCTAAACCGGAAGCAAAACCGTTAGCGAATCCAGATGTCATTGAAATCCGCGAGTTTAAATATATGACATTTGCTCACAAGCACAACGGTGCTCGAGATTCGCACCGCCTCCAGAAGCAGACAAGAACTCAACGCGTTAAAATGTGAATGGAATGCTGAAAATAATGCTTTTTTGTCTTTGAAGGTGGTCGAGTACTCGGAGATAACATCAAAGACAGCCCAGAAGCGGACTGAAAACGGCGAGCTTTTATTCAACGCAGCAAATATTTGCAATCATTTCTTCACGGTTGATTTTCTTGAGAGGGCCTCCGGTCCACTTGAAGACAAACTTGAGTACCACGTCGCGAAAAAGAAAATCCCGTGTGCCGGAGAAGATGGAGGAACGATGAAACCATCAATTCCCAACGGGATAAAAATCGAAAAATTCGTTTTCGACGTCTTCCAGTTTTCTGAAAAATTCCGACTATGGGAGGTACAGTATGTTTTAATTTTATCGACGTCGAAAAGCTTTCGGTTCTACAAAATCAAGGATTGAAGTATTCGATAGCAAATAAAGTTTAACCAACAGACATCGCTGGAAAACGAAATTAATTTGGGATAAGTAAGTCGTTCTTCCCGTCTTGTACTGCACTTCCTTGGTTGGGATTGTGGAGGGGCATAAGTAATTCTTACGAAAGCATATTAAAAATCTTACTAATTTATTGTACGTATCACAGTGAATATAAATCACTTTCCCGATTTTAATGACCCAAGTTGAAATGAAATTACGGTAATGAAAAAGAGCTGAGAATGCTTTTTATCACTCTCAGATAATAAGATTTACCTGCAACACTTGATTACGCGGAAAATGTAAAAGCTTTCGAATATTTGTACAGTGATTCAAGTATTCTCAAAATGTGTATCAGTGACGTTGTTCCAATTAGATCTATATTCAATATGTTCCCATCAAAATGTGCTGATCTTCAGAAAAGTCAATTTCATGTTTTCAGAAGGTAACGGACTAACGGTTGACTTAAAATGTGCATTGTATACTGTATACTGTTTATACATATATACTGTATATATATATATGGTGATGAAGTCGTCCGTCTCGGCTGCAATGGAACAATAATTAAGAGAAATTCATTAAAATATAAACAGCAGCATAGGATTGCCTCAAGTCTTGGTACTTATCCCACATGTTGTTTGGGTACGTGGAATCGTGGATGACAATAATAACAAAATTATTTGGGGGTATTGAAGGGGAATTTTGTTGCATGATTTATCGCATTACGAGCCCACAGAAATTTCTCATTGAGACTGTATAATTTGAAACTTGTATAATCAGGTGGGGGAAAATTCTTCAGGTACGACGTGAAGAGGATTTTAGCCCCGTGAAAAACGCCGACGGTGCGGCAACAGACACCCCGACCACGGCTCGAGAAATGTACTATTCCCTTTGTCAATCTTATGTCGAAAAAGCAGGCGGACGCTTTGGAACGGGAGAAAGCGAGGCAAAATCGGGGTAAGTAAGAAATATGCACGATGAGAAAATCCGTTCTCGTCGACGAAGAACTCCCGGTGTAAACATGTTCTGTCCCAACAGAGTCGTCGAAATATCGCCATTGATTTCCTACGACGGAGAGGGCTTGGAGAGTTTCGTCAAGGGGCAGTGTTTCTCGTACCCAGTGCTTTTCTGAAGTCGACGCGAATCGAAATGAGTGCTTTCGCTTCCGGCCGCGCCTTCTGCTCCTGCAGAAGTTCTCGATAAAATTTCAAATCAGTACAGAACCATCGACTTGCTTGCTTGCAGAATAACAGATGGCGTCATGAATAAATGCATAGAAAATGTGAGACCATCACGCAAGGGCTGAAGTGTCGTCGTCATTTTATTATCGTATACTGAATACCGAAATAAGAGGTGTGGTGTTTATATTGACGATAGTTTTGCCGGAGAAACGTATTTTTCATTCTTGTTTGCCGGAGATATCGAGCCAACTTTATAGTCTATACAATGCATTGATGGTCGTGTCACATTTATGGCTGACGATACTGCGACACTTCATTCAGTATATTATTGGATCAGAACCGGTGCTCTGCGCCGCCGTCCACGAATACCTGAATACAGTATATAAAAGCATTATATATCTGGGGGTCCGCGGATCTTTTGCAGTGCATCATACGAGAAAAAAATAGGATACAGGAGAGAATCAGCACAATCAATTGTCACTTATGCATGAAGGTAACCGGAAAATAACAAATAAGGCCTTAAAGAGAATAAGCTAGAACGACCTCCAAATTCTGACTCGAAATAATAAGCACCCTGCATACATCAACGGCTGAAGGGGGTCCGCCATAGAAAGTATCCCAAAGAATTAAATGATCTTCTACATAGTTAATAGGGAAGAACAAATATATGTATGACGAACCAATCGTTGTTTTGGGACCCCACTCGACGCAACTGTCTATAAACACAAGGTCGGATTAAATGCTGGAAGTTATTCGAAGCTGCGAAGTCGGTATGTTGGCAGCCAAGAATCGCAATCTTTGTTTTTTACAAACTCGTTCCTGGGTATTTATGCGGAACGCATAGATAAAATGACAATTCTGGTCAGAAAATCGTTATCCTAGGTCATGCGTCACATTGCAAGAGGCTTTTCATATCTTTTGAGGATCTCCGAGGCACTCGGTGTGGTACAATAAGTGGAGACAGAGTGTGTAGAGCCTGGTTACCCTGTGTGCACCTGTTCGAAAGTCGCGGCCCATTCGACAGCACTGGTCGAATTTAATACCGATAACACTGCTGAATTATCATGGCGGCGCTCATGGAACCTTGGCTCACGACTTGTCGGGGGACAGTATGAATGATTATCTCGGTGCTGCGGGCGCATCTGTCGAGTGCTTTGGACTTATCGGTTTATACTTGTTTAGAAATTGCAGATCTGGAGTAAGTCACTTAGTTTCAAACACATTGAAGTAAATACAGGAGGAACTTGACGATTTGGTGAACTCGATTGTGATTCGCTGGGTGGTGATACCATTGTGAATAGCCTTACGAGAGTTTTCCACTGTCCCTCATGGTGTCGTGAACAGAATGTGGCCATTGATGTTGAAGCTTTTGAGTTCGTTCATTTACTCTTCGTGTTTTTTGCGAACTGCCTTGAACGAGAAAGTGTTCGAAAAGGTTTTTCAGGGTCTGATGATTCGGTAACCGCAGGTCATCGTTGCTTTCATTGCCGATGCTAACAAGCAGATTGAGTCCTTTAGTCCGTTGTTTTATCCTGAAATTTCTGTTAATTCTTGCTCAAAAAGTTGAGCTCAGTCTAATCCGACTTCCTCGACATGGATGGAATGCTCGAGTAGTTATACAAAACAGTACTATTATGTGATTGGTATTCTCATCGCCTGTCAATCCGCGACTCTTCGTCATTCGTCGATTTTATGCATTGAACCAAAATCATTATATTGATCCATGCTCATTGGCTTTTTTAATCCCGGATTGCCTAGATTTGAACGTTGCGAAAAGCTCCCTTGCCGTGAAATTAGGTGTTTCTTTTGAAATGCATTGTGGTAACCCGAATAGGTTATTGGGACGTGGAAGCTCATTGTTGAATTTGGATCAATCTTCAATTATGCGTGCGTAAAGCCCTAAGCCGAGCTTGATTTAGAGGACGAGCCACTTCCCTTCATATTTGTCTGTCCTGACGCGGTTGGATTTCCACGCTTTATTCGACAATGTCGTCGAGCAGCACATTCGTTGACAAGATAGATCCTTTCGCGAAAAGGTCCCTGAAAAAGAAACAGAAGAAGGCTCAGGGATCCTCCCGGTATCGAGCAGTGCAAGAGACGGATTTACAGCCCTTACCGATGATGAAAGGTGAGAGCTTCTTTGATATACGACAAGTGTGGCGTGTTTTAAGAAAAGATTCCGTCTTGCAGATGTTCCTGCCGGCGAACAAGAAGATCTTTTCATTCGAAAATTGCGTCAATGTTCCATGTTGTTCGATTTTCTCGATCCGGTTGCTGATATAAAGTGCAAGGAAGTGAAAAGAAGCACCCTCAATGAACTGGTGGACTATATTACCGCTGGTCGTGGCATTTTGACCGAAGCCGTTTATTCTGAAGTCGTCAAAATGGTATTCTGATTATTCTCAGACCCTTCATTGTTCATCTTTGTAGCAGTAAATGGAGGATTGTTCATCTTTTAGATTTCATGCAACCTATTTCGATGCCTCCCTCCAAGCGAAAACCCCGATTTTGATCCGGAAGAAGATGAACCAACGCTTGAAGCATCGTGGCCACACCTTCAGGTTCGTGTCGTTGCGATGACCGCTCACTTCAGTTACCTTGACAGTTTTTTTGTATGAAACTCACTCTCGTCGACCCTCTTAGTTGGTCTACGAGTTCTTCTTACGGTTCTTGGAGTCTCCGGATTTTCAGCCTGGGGTGGCAAAAAGAGTCATCGATCAACGATTCGTTTTTCAAGTGGGTTACGAGTGTTTTCGTGAATTAAAGGCGTGCCAACCATGTTTTATGTTTTCGACTTAGTTGCTGGATCTCTTCGATAGTGAAGACCCTCGCGAGCGCGATTTCCTGAAGACAGTTTTGCATCGGATTTACGGGAAGTTCTTGGGGCTCCGGGCGTTTATTCGGAAGCAAATCAATCACATATTTCTCAGGTAAAGTATGTTGTGTTATTGTTCTCTCGTGAGTCTAGTGGGCGTGACGTGATTTTAATGCAGGTTTATCTATGAGACGGAACACTTCAACGGAGTCGCCGAACTTCTCGAAATATTGGGGAGGTGAGCTTTGTCTCCATTCACTTTGATTGTTTGACTTCGCTTTGCTCAGAATAATGTAATGTCGAATTTCAAGGGACCCGCAAAACAATTTGACTTGGGGAGGTTTTGAATTATATAAGTTTCAACTACAATACAAAGCCCTTTTTTCAGGGAAGCTTGGAAAAAATGTAAATGGTGATATTCTGTGGCTTGAATGAATCTGTTCTATGAATTAAATGAGTTGAAAGGCTGCTGAACTTGGAGGCAGGGGTTCATTTGCCCAATTAAGTCTTTCATTTCCTTTAAAGCACATGCATTTTTGTTTTTATTACTATTATTTTTTCTTGGGTCAAGAAAATAATGGCCAACAGGCCACAGGAAATGACTAATGGAGTTCGAGGGGAAAAGCTTTTGACTTAGGGAGGTTTTTAATGTACAGTATTGTTTCTAAGGGGATTCAGATGGGGATCTGAAAAAAAAATTTGACTTAGGGAGGTTTGAGTTATCAAGGTTCACCTGTAATTCGATTTTTTTCAGCATCATCAACGGGTTTGCCCTGCCGTTGAAACAGGAACACAAGCAATTTCTTGTCCGTGTCCTTCTCCCATTGCACAAAGTGAAGTGCTTGGTGTTATACCATGCTCAACTGGCATACTGCGTTGTGCAGTTCCTTGAGAAAGACCCAAGTTTAACAGAAGAAGTCGTTCGTGGTCTTCTTCGCTACTGGCCGAGGACTTGCTCGCAGAAGGAAGTGATGTTTTTGGGGGAGATCGAGGAAATCTTGGACGTCATTGAACCCCAATATTTTCGAAATATTCAAGATCCCCTCTTCCGGCAGATTGCCAGATGTTGTTCTAGTCCTCATTTCCAGGTTCGAATCAATTCAATTCAAGTCTTACTTGGTCTGATTCAATTCTTTTCAACGCATTCTCAACAGGTAGCGGAGCGAGCGCTGTACTTCTGGAACAACGAGTACATTTTGACTCTCATTGAGGAGAACAATCCTGTGATTATGCCAATTATGTTCCCTGCGCTTTATCGTATTTCTAAGGAACATTGGAACCAAACGATTGTTGCGTTGGTGTATAATGTTCTGAAAACCTTCATGGAGGTTAACTCCCCACTTTTTGACGAGTTGACTGCGTCTTATAAGGCCGAAAGACAACGGTAAACTTACTTGATTCTTCAGCGTGGTTATTTTGGTGAAACACTTCTTGGTCACCCCTTTCCGCAGGGAGAAGAAGCGAGAGCGGGACCGGGATGAGCTGTGGAAGAAGCTGTCTGACCTCGGGAATCCGGCACGGAAAAGCGACGGTAGTGTAACTCGGAGCTTGGTCGGCTCTTCGCGGGACTCATCGACACCATTGGGTGTCGATAGTGTCACCCGTGCTGGACTTGGGAGTGAAACGTGAATCAGAAAAGTAGGAGTCGACCCGATAGTGATAGTTGCTCGTTCTACTTCTTCTGTGAGATGGTCCCGCTTTCTCCATGTTAATAAGTTTCTTTCTGCGTGTTTTGCCGCGCTGGTAAGCGAGCGTCCACCGTCGGCCGGGTCACACGAGCGAGCGTGAAAATATGTTCCGCAATTTATCCTAATGAAATGCTTCTGTGTCTTGCACCTGTGAAAGCCCATACCATGGCAATCTGAAACAAAACATCTGGAGCTATCCACGGTGAAGAGCGCGACTGAAATTATCTTCGATTTATTTTTGATCAAGTTTATTTTATTATTGAGTGGATTTATGCGTGATCAGTGTTCCGAGCGCGTGTCAGCTTGTTTGACTAGGTAAACATTTGCGTATTGCTGCACTTCCTCCAGATACAGCTTGCTTGGATCGTGGGCAGTTTCCGCAATCGACGGTACGACCGTCATTTAACTCTGTGCCAAATATTCCTTCATTTTCCAAACGCTTGTGTTTGCGTTTTGTTCAAATGTTGAGTGTTCCAATTAGCGGTCGTGATCCGCTTGCCCGTAAGAAATGCAGCCAGGGCGAGGCTCCATAGAATTTGGAGTCAAACGTGCTCGGAGCATGTGTCCGTATGAAAATGTGGTTTTGATCAGCCATAAGCCCGCTCAGAATTGGTTGGATTTTCATATTTTCTGTAAAAGCTCCGGTGAACTCACGCAGACGGCAGCAGTTCTTATTTGGGCACGTTCCCTGCTTGGAGCGGTACTTTCTTGAATTTTATTTCGGTGCTGACGGGATTTCGAGAAAGGTGCATTCTTTCTCGGAATCCGGTGCTCGTCTGGTGTGCGATTGCAGCTTCTAAGTTTGAAACTGGACCCCTTACCTACTCGTTTGAAGTCGTGAATGTGGTACTCAGTGTCTTGGCTGTGTCTTCCAGCATTTGCGCCAAGCAGTCTTGAGTGCATGAACTCATGCATAATATTTCTCAAGTCATTTCTGCGAACATCGAGGACTCATTCCTAAATCAGGGAAGATGTTGTAGAAATGAATTTCATTAAAATCAACAAATTCTGTGAATCAGATGCATTTTAAGGATTAGAGGTGGTGAGTCTAAACTGTGTAAAACCCGTATGAGTTTCGTTGAAAACTATTTTCCCAATGCGTCTGCCGAATTTGACAGCGAACGAGAATGGGAAGACAGTCGTTTTTCTTCTATTTACTTCAATAAAGTTGATGCTTTGTTGCTATTCATATCATAACCTACATATTGCAAATGGGTGTTTCTGCGGTTTGAGCGCGAACGCACACGAGATAAGTACCCGCATTGAATTACAGAATTCAGCACTATCTTATCGCTCCAATTTCCTGCATTGCGTTTTTTATTGTTTCTCGTGATGTATTCGCAAAATCAATGGTTCTTGATTCAAAAAGCTTGCGTGTTCTGGGTGTAGACGAGAACGGAATCCGCGTGGTGTAGGCTGGAAAAGTGATCGAGTAAGCGTGAGTGTTTTTGTTTTTAATGAAAGGCGAGTGAGTGTTGCGATCGAGTTCAGTGGAAGGGGAGTTCAATTCGACAGAAAAAAGCTCCGCGAAGGTTGTTTTCCAGATGCCCGAAAATGAACGCGTAGGTAGATTGAGAATTCGTGTAGCATGTTTTCCGTTTTCTAGGTGTAAAAATAACTTCGTGAGTTGTATGCTGTTGGCATTAGTTTAAGTTTTGTGTCAGTTATGGGAATAACTTCCGAAGGTTATTTCATGAAGTTTTTATGTATTACTGCGAGATTGCATTTTGCAGGCGTTACCAATACGGGGAGGATTGCTGGCTGGTAGCCGCATTCCTTCGAGTTCTTTATCGCGGAACTGTCCCGCATGAAGTGGATATAAGTCTTAATTTTTCCGTGGACAGTTCGCTGTTGGATGCTAATTTTGAAACGAGATCGCGGGCAAGAAGGCATTGGGCCGCCCTGCTTGGTCTGGGCGATGCTTGATCCTATGTATAATGGGGACGATATTTTTATGATCCTTCACGTTCCCTCAATCCAGTTTTTTTTTTCGTTGGTTGAATCACGTACCAACGAATATTCTGCAATTTTCACGTGTTCTGGCTGTCGTGCCGTGTACATCTCGTTGTGTGAGTCCAGCCGGTGAGAGTGGGCGAAGACTGGAGCATGGCGAGTTTCAGGGGTCGGGGTTTCTTGAGTCTGGGACCAGCATTGCTCTGGCTCAGCAGCGCGGAAGAACGATGCAAAGAACGGGAAGGCAGTATTGTCGCCGCACGCGGCGATGCTGGCGATTTCAATCGGCTTGAATTTTGAGAGATTCCGGACACTGTGAGCCGTCTCCGTCGAGTTAATTCATACGGTCACGACGAAGCTTTTTGTTTAAGCTCGAGAAAATTGTATCCGCTATTCGCGCTGCTGAGTGTTGTGATACTTCGTGGCTGCTGCGTCGCAGGTACACCCGCGCCACGTAAGTGGCCCCTGTGCACATCGCATCGTCAGCGTTTGGCGCATGTTGTGCGGCAATTCTTGTGCTGGAGGTCCATCGCGCTGAATTTTTTGAGTATTTCTTTCACCCTGTCGTTTCTTTGCTCCTGAGCGAATATTGAATAATTGCCGGACCATTGACGTCATTGGTTCTTTTATTTAATTTATTGCTTGTGTGCGAGCTATTGTCCCCTTGAATTGGATTTGTTCGTCTGAATAAACCAGAACCATGGTTCCGGGTAAGAAGATTTTAATTTTTTCTTCGTGAGTGACGAAATATTTCGAAGAGTAGACTGTCGTATACCAGTGTCTGACAAACTTTCAGTTTACAATAGGGTCTTCGGATTACAAACTTAATCTGTTCGTGAGTAAATTTTGTTCTCCAAATAGTTTGTGAACCTAATCACATTTTCCCTTAAGAATGAACAGGAATAATAATTCATTCCAGAATCTTGAAGTGTATGAAAATAAATAATTTACTTTTTTATTCAGGGAAAATTTTGGTTTTAGCATGTTTTCTGACACTGATGATTTTCTATGCGTTTTTCAAGCACGGTATTCGTCTCAGTTGTGGACTGTTTTAAAATAGCGTGTCCTATCATTTAAGCCAATTTTCTACCCTGGTTCTCCTTCATCACAATTGCTGTTCGAAATCTATATTTAAATGGTGTAATCATTATTGACAGTCTTGTGAATTTTGAGAAGTGTGCTAGCCAGACTACAAGAGGAAATTGAAGTGGCTTATGTTAAAATTGCAAAAAATATGGGCCTTTTTCTTGGATCTCAGTGAATTGATAAATCAAAAAGCCTGCGCATATTGTGATCAAATTTTTTTTTTCCACACACATTCAATTGAGCTTGCCAAATAATCATTTCGTGATGAAATTCAGTGGCCTGCATTTATTCCAATTTCAGAATGATGGGAAAGTGTGGCATTGCTTGTGTTATGTAGGGTTGAATTATGTCTGGATTATCAGAAAAAGTAAATAAATTATAAATAAATAAATTAAAAATTATTAATTTAATCAATATTGAAATCTAGTCCTTATACAGATTCATGAGTTTCGCAACCCACAGTATGTTGTCCAATAAAACTGAACTCAACATGAATCTATTCGAGTAAATCAGTTCAAGATACATGCGACCAAGAAGTAAATATCTTCATTCCCGAAAAAACGTAATATATAAGATGAAATTCACAAACGATTGACACCAAACAGCAGTAATCATAAAATTCTCATACGCTCACAGAAGAAAAGTTTATCACTGAAAAGAACCATATGTGCAGTGGATAAGGACAGCAGCATTTCTTTCGCAGATGATCACATTTGGTATCTGAGAAAAGTGGTGCATTGACAAGGGAGACACATTTGGTATCCCGAAGGAAGGGTGCGTTGACATTCAAGTACTGTAGCCTGGTCAAGAGGCAGGAATGGGAAATATTCAGATTCTTCACAGTTCAACAAAAACAGGTGGCACTCTTTCTCGAGTCATTAACTTGAAAAGGAGATTCTAGTATGGAAAAGAGAACTCTTGATCACCATCAATAATGCATGGAATACTTGCGGGAGGTGAAAAAATAATGATCCACTACCAGGATGCAATAACTTGATGATAAGAGACCATTAAAAAGCTATGCACAGTATTCCTCTCCTGATGAAATCTGCAAAAGGTAACACGGAAGCGGTTTTACAACTACTGTACTGGATCAATTTTTGCCATACGGACATGAGAAGGCACAACTGCACATGCTAGTTCATGTCAGCAGCTTTGAAGGAACGTAGTGATTTTGAAATCTGTCCAGAAACCTGGACAACACAAATAAACATTCAAATACAAAAACTTGTGGGGCATAATCCTTGGGCTGCCATTCTCATCCCACGCGCGATTCAAATCACCCACAGGAGCAAGAATATCATACACGTGCATCACAAAAGGATTAAAAAGATTATTCAAGTCGTGCGTGGGTTTCGATTCACTCAGTTAAATGTCAGCTTTTCGCGCTCAAACAGCATGTTCCAAAAAGATCAAAATATGTCCAAGTCAAGAATACGGACCAACCCATTCATCTGCATACACAAAGCGTACATCAGCAGCGGCGGTGAGAGCATCCTCAAAATAAAACTTTTTCATCAGCAAATCAGACAAAAGCTCAGCCACTTTCGTAGAATCAAAGCATTTGAATCAGCTGCAGCGCGAAGCGAACAATCTCTCTAATTCCAACTCATCAACAATAAGGCCACCAAGTGCGTCTCTTAATTGAGAACAACCGCCCTAAACCATAATTCAAAGCAATATTATTCAAAACAAGCAAAGCTCATTTTCCCGGCCTCAGGCATCATTACAAAATTTGACTGCCACACCTTAGCTTCCGTTGTCAACTGCCGCGATGTTGTTGACGGACAAAGTCTTTCACTTCTGTACTGTATAATAAGCAAAGCCTCGACTGCAACATACTACAATACGTTCTTTTACTATAAGATTCAGTCAAGGTGTTTGTGTTTCAGACACACTTCTTTCACTAGAACTACAAGGGGTTAATAATTTATTTTTACCTCATCTGACTTTGATGGGGTGTCACATCATCCAGCTGAATCTCTTTTGGAGAGATGATCAAATGGCGCTGGCAAGAAAACCTGAATGGATTTTCATTTTAGATAGCAATTTTCCACATGACACTGTATAGCAAGAACTGCATAGTTGAGAGCATAATATGAGAAAAGTAAACTACATTTGCAAATCCTTTTCAATTATATTCACCTTCAGCATACACACTGAAGCAAAAACCAGATTATCTGGCTTGATTTTCCTTAAAAGTGGGAACAGATTGTTGAGTGTTTCGTTGAAGAATTCAAAGAAGGATGCGCAAAAAACCAAGTACTGTATGTAGCATGCATACCTCTTTGCTTATCTGTCACTTCCCCACTAACGTTACTCCCATCTGCAGCAACAACGAAGCAAGTTCGGCATAGCCTCCCTGGAGTCATTCATAAAAGACTTCAGGACTGACAAAGGGATCCTCCCCAGCAAGCGTAACCAAGACAAATCCCAAAACTCTTCCAAGATAAAAAAAAAACAGGCAAGCAAGGGAATTTTTTCGAGGCACAGATGAAGAATGGATGTGCATCCAAAAAGCAGCCTTGCAACTTTTTGTCCTGATGCGCTTCAGCCTAAGATGACGTGAAAATGAAATGTTTTGGGAGATGCATTGTTGGAATGTCGTATGCATGCAGCGCGGGAATCTCCAACAGGATGCATTTGGAATGATGGATTTGGAGAAACCAACTCATTTTTGAGTGAATCTCTGTCACAGAATTCAACACATTGTTTGCAGGTTGTTCATTGTGTGAAGGAGTAACCATCTCTGGCAGCATGAGCGCCATCTGCCACATTCCTCCGGCGATACTGTTCCCAGCGCTCGTCGTCAGACTCATGAGTGATGTAGCGGAATCCTACCTTAGACTCCAGCTCTCTACAGTCGCACCATGTGTGGTAATCCTGAAAAAATCAACATCCTTCACTTCTGAAACAAAAAAGGAATGAAACTTTGAATTCAGCAAACCTGAAGCCACGGGTGCATCAGAGTTTTGTCAACAGTGTAACGCTTATTTGCCTGGACCTGGAGCAAGTGGTTCACCAAGTCGACAGCTGGAAAGGAAACAAGAAAACATTTAGTTAAAATAATCTCACATTTTATAGATTTTAGGTAGAAGAAATACCCAACTTGTGTTCCTCAAACATTTTCTTACTGCTTATACAAAATATTCAGAAAGAGGTTGCTGTTTGGAGCATAAAAAACATGTGTTCGCTGAAGTCTGGTCTACATGAGACTCCGTCAAACTTTAATGAACGGAAATTTGACAATTTTCTGCAGAAAAATTGCTTATTTTGCCACTTAATTTTTGCTTTAAATTTTCCGATTTTTGCAGCCTTTGCAGTATCCCCGATGCCCATTTAGTGTACTGTATACCCAGGATTCAGCCTAGAATCACTTCAATACATTATTCAGCAACAATGAAGCCCAGCTTTCCTCAGAATTGTGCATTGACAGCTCCGTGAGCAAAGGGAAAAGTAAACCCAGAATTATGTATTGCATTAGTTTGGCCACAGATTTTGAAAACGGAAGACAAGTTCAAGTAGCTTCAACACTGCGACATCTGGATAAATTACAGAGCCACTCTGCAAATATTTTTTGAATGAACCCACCAGCAGTGGAAATCTCTTTCCATGGAGTCGGAGGATACATGAACGCGGCATTTTTGATCTGATCATGAATGTCTTCCTCTTCGTTGAATGGGAATGTACCACTAAGGCTGACATACACGATCACGCCAACACTCCACATATCCAAAGATCTGTTGTATTTTTTGTTGCGAATGACCTCCGGCGCTAGAAAAAATGTTCATGTTAAATTTGCTTCGTAAAAAGGATAAGCCAAGCATTATACTCACCGAGGTAAGCTGGGGTGCCAACAACAGATCTTCTGAATGACTTTTCTCCAATTATGCGAGCAAAGCCAAAGTCACACAACTTTACTTGAGGAAATTCCGTATCTTCGGACAACAGCACATTCTCAGGCTTCAAGTCGCAATGGACGATGTTCTTGCTGTGCAAGTGTTTCAAAGCAACTAGAATCTAGATATTGTTCAAAACAATTGAAACCCGTATAAATTATAGGCTTCCTCAAACCTCGATGATTTAGATTTCAGTTAGTTCGAAAAAATTTTTCAATACTGTTCAAGTGCAGGACCATAAAAGTTATACAACTAGGGAACAAAGAAATTATCAGAAGTAACTTCACGTAAATTTACCACCAGCATATGAATCAAGAGGATAAAAATTCGTGATTTTATTCAAGAGGCACACAGCAGGCTTGCAAGGAAAAAAATTGCTTGCGCCATTTATACTTGTGATCACGCAGAAGCATCTAAGAATGGAATGGTATACTGTTCTCAACAGCTTTTTTGCCATAAATAGAGAATGAAATTTTCTCCAAAATTTTTCAATTATTAGAAACACACTGATTATTTTTCTTCAAGAACTGCCAAACTAAGAAACACGGAGTAGATCACCTGAGTAATGAGGAAGCGAGTCGTTCGTTCTGATAAACGTCCGATCGGCGAAGACAGTATCATTTCCAGCATGTCACCTTTCAACTTCTCCATCACAACGTAAATTCGTTCAGGGGTCTCGTACATGCTTTCCAAGATGACTATACCAGGATGAGAAATGTTCTGGAGAATCGAAACCTCGTTCTTCAGTTGCAAGTCGTTTTTATGCGGGAACCGCGTCTTGTCAATAATCTTAATCGCCACAGGACGCTTGTTTTTCCGATTCACCCCTGTAATCATTCAGTCGTATCATCAGTTTTTATTATTCAAATTAAATTTGAATTAATTTGTACCGCCGTATACGACTCCAAACTGTCCAGAACCAAGGACTTCCTCAGCAGCGATTTCGTAAAGCTGAGTGATGTCATTTGCTCCTCTTTCACGGCCAGGAGGAATGGTCATCATCGGCTCTTTCGGAACTGGAAATGATTCAATCAATAAGAAAATTAACAAGATATTTTGAAATTAATCAATGGTGATTCAGCTTCAGCCCCTGATATTTGATCAAATTGAACAGGATGGAGGGATCAACAGTGTCAAGATTGAATTTTCTTCTGTTTCAATTCTTGGAACAAGAGAGTTCAGAAATGAGTTCAAATTGGTAGATAATGCACTGAAAAGGTGTTAAAAAGAGAAACCATAAATTTGCATAAAGATCATAAGCACGTGAATCATTGGTTTCCAAATAAGAAAAAATTTAAAATCATGCACACTATCGCATTACGCATATATTTTAAAGTTTTGTGTTGTATACTAACGCCTGCCTGAACCTCCATTTGCAGCAACCGGCTCAACTTTCTGTTCACTTGTACTGCTTTGCGGTGTCACAGGCATCAAAGCTTGTCTGATGGCTGTCTCCCAGCTTTTGGCAAGATGTGTACCAAAACCTTTTTCCATGGGTGAGGCAGCAAGCACGCCTTCGGGCTCTGGCCTTGCCGTGACACTTTTTGGCTTGTCCTGCCCAACGTAATAGTCTACATTGGCCGTTCGTAGCTCAAAGCAGTGCGTCGGGGCATCTTTCTTGAAATCTGAAATATAATCTTGAGAATTATATCAGCCGCCTCACACAAACATGCTTTCATATTCTGCACTGACGCTTGCTACGTGCATAAAATAAAAAAATGCCTTGTACTCCACACCAGAGATTATCAAGCGATATTATAAGTCACGAACGTAACTTTTTTTTTTATTTCTCACGCTTAAGGAGGTGATGGAATTGATGTTCTCATGAAGCACATGGTCCAAAAAAACCAGTTTACCAAACAGTAAAGAACCTCAAACATATTGCTGATTTGCGTAGGGGTGAATATGGTATCTGAACAGTGCTCCATCAGTCAAAAAATCTAACTGACAACGGCAATTAAAATCATAAATATAATTTTTTAAATGAATGTATTAACAAGGCCGCAAATAAATATATCATTGGCAGTTCTTGGTACCTGGACCACAGCTGCTTCCGGCAGATTTTGCTGTTTCCACAGCCAGTATCTCCGACAAGGGGATCTCCTTGAAAAAGTTTTTATTCGTCTCCGAATGGTACAGCGTTATGGACTTGGGATCCAACCTCCAGTAGTGCAAACGACCCTGGTGAGACCGGCAATAAAGAAAAAGTCAGCACAATGTCGCAGCATGGTCTATGTCGAATAGGATTTACACATGGGTCCTTGTTCGTGCAATGAATCATCCATCCTTCTTTCAGGATCTGAGATCCTTTCCTCTTGGTATGCTTCACACTCTGCCAGAGTCGCTGAACCGGGATGTTGCTGATGGAAAATTCATGAAAGAAAATTCAATCAAGACATGAGTAAATTCTATGACCCAGGGTTAACGTTTTCATTGGTCACCTGGGCTGTTGAAGGTCGTGTTCTGCTTCGTCTCCGTCATACTCCTATTAATACATAGAGAAAAAAAACAATAATAAGAGTCAGTCAATGCACACACATTTTTTAAATACTCAGATAATAAAAATAAACGCGAGCGTTATACTAGGACTTAAATTGTTGACATTCTTCAAGGTAAATGTTTTTCAGATTTTCTCCATGAAAATCATGACACGCACATTATAAGAGGGAACACGCGGTACAGGAAACGATTTTGAAAAAGTCGCAAATCAGCAGTTGAAATAAAATGAATCCTTAATCCCAAATTTCACTCGCACGGTTCACAGAAAGACGAACGGTATCGTATCACTCATTCAAATCCGGATAGAACATAGTAACTGGTCCATAAAATCGAATGCTTAAGAGCTTGTCATACGAATAATTCGGCTGTGATAACAAATGTGACAACGCGTTCCCTGACGAGTGCACATTCTGCGTTGAGCAAACGAGGGTCACGCAATCTTCCAGCGCCACCATTTCAAGATTTTATACTTTTATGCGCACGGTCTCAAAAAGTTATCAGAATGGCCCGTAAAAAGTTACATAAAAAATTGGACATTTCTTAAAGGATTTATCATAATTTGTAATCATTTTTCCGCTCCTTTTTACTCGATGAAGGTGCACGTGAAAAATCTCTCAACAAGAATCCTAAAATCATACTAAATACTGAACAGCAGCACAAACGGGCTTAAATCTAATCTCCGAATTTGAATTTTAAAATCTTATTTGATCATCAGCTTTAATACAATTAAAGCAGAATATTCATCATTTTTGAATTTAAAATAATATATAAAAAAGAATCTTTTAATGAGGCAATCGTCTCCACAGATTTTCTAGTTATATATATTTTGTAAAGCCCAGGAAGTATTTTAGTATATTTGAAATTGCCAAAATCTACGCTCCACACAGAATCGGTGGCGAGGTATCCAAGGGTTGTTTTGGTCATAGAAATCTACAGCTGCCTTCATATCTACCTTATTTTGCTCATCGATTGCACTTTATCTTTATGACCATCCCTCACAGGGATTTACGCCTAATACATTTTTTCAACACTCGACTATTGTGAAAATCTCTAATACTCTAGGAGTCTAGGAAGACGCAGAGAATCAGATTTTTTCTTCGGCGAAGACATTCCTTATCGAATAAATAATTCACCGACTTTCAATGTGGATTACTGTATGTAATTTGAAACAACACGAATGAGCACAACTGCTCCTCAAGAGGTGTTGGGATTTCGGACAGCTCATGTTTTGTTTATTGTGCGATTCCTTCTAGGGGCATTGAAAAATGAAAAGATTGTAAAACCTTCGAAAAAGCGAAGGAAAAAAAAGGTGACTTCGAGGAATTTTTGTGCACCGCAGCAAAAAAATTCTGCGCGATCCCTCCTACACAACTCGATAACATTCAATAATCGTCAGGCAATCATTTTCATTATAAATTTATGCTTGAATACACCGAAATGATTTTCGCATCAAACAAGATACATTTTACAGACGAAGTTTCTTCCAATCCATATAACCGTAAGATAGGGCGTATGGGTGTGGGTGTGCTTATTTGTGATAAATGTAAGCCAACTTTCTCGACTTGTGGTTCGGAGAGCACTTCTATGAGGGACTCCACTGTCATTTCAAAAGAATACGGGGGGAAAATGGAATATGAAGATTCAAGTGATAAAAAATAGACAAAAATCACCATGCTCGCAATCCATCGAAAAGAAGAATCTACTCATAAATTTCATCAACTCGTGAGACGAGACGAAAGGTCTTGAAGGCTATACCACGGGAATCCATTTTTAAAGGTGCGCTGCCATTGGACTTTATTTTAGAAATGGGTCATCCGGTCCAAAAAGGTGAATAGGTTCGGCGATGAAGGGAACCTAGTTCCTTCAAGAGAGATTGCCCGCATTGATGGGAATCGCGGATTTCATAGATTCCGGCGTTTACGGAAAATTAGCTTTGACATTACGCTGGCAGAACATGGAAGAACGCTCAAAATGGCACGTGACAGCATGGAAATCACGCCGCCTCATGGATGTCGCTAATGCCTTGGTACCATTCGGGATCGGAAACGAAGTGACCGGGGATCAGAAGGAGTCACATCTATATGCATCCGAAACTCGCCGCGACAACGTGACCCGACTTCCATCTCATCGCGAGACCAAAGCGATACGAATCCGAATATCAACACGGGAAAAGCGAAGAAACACAGGAACTTACCCCATTCAGGGTCATCTCGGAGAAAGAATGAATCGGCGGGCGAGGCGAGGCCTTGCCCTGAGATCCGGGCGGCGAATCGTTGTCGGCTTCGTCGGACTCGGTTTCGTCCACTCCATCTCTTTCGGCGTCTCCGTCTTCGGTGAGAAAAAAAAAAAAAAAACTCCAATAAGCACGGGCATTCACATCAGGAGGTTAAGTGAGAATTTCTCACCAGCCTAAATGAGCTCGGTTTAAAAACGATAAGTCCTGAAGCAATACCGTTCAACGCCCGGAAGCCCGGAGCGCAATCAACACCGCTGAAGGCACTCACAGTAGTGCAGTGATGATAAAAACGCATGTATAGCAAGCATAAAAATTTGTCGAAATATGTTGAAGGGCGACCTAAGTTAAACACGACGAGAGAAATTCGCTTTCAACGTCATACTGAGCAGAACAAATATTCCCGGTCCCAGATTATGTCGATTTCCCAGCGGCCCACCAGCTTCCATAAATCGGTCTAAAAACCGATCCCCTAGAATTCCGATGAAAAACAGCCTCTGTTTGGAATAACAGATTAACGCATTTCCGAAGAAACACTAAGTGATACACGAGTTTTTTTTTTCAGATGTAGATTAGTCACTAGCACATTAGGATTCATCTACATTCAATCCGAACTATGCCCCATTATCAGATCATAATTTTCCATTCAAAATTCGATTTCTCTCTGCCGCAGCCGTCAAGGAGGGTATTTTAATGAGCATGGTGTTTCGATGTATGCAGTTCACAAGCTTCAGAAAGAAGAATAACGTACTGTAATTGGAAAGAAAACTTAAAAAATAATTGTACCTCAAAAAGATGACGGAAATCGCCATGTTACGGCAGTCTACACAGTATTTACAGGAAGGGATGTCGTCATTTTTATCAGCAAATTCTGCCCAATAATGAAGAATTGTCTTCAATTGAGTATTTGAGCGAAATAAAACAGCTAGTATGAGTATCTTCCTTCAACATCATGTGAAAATTAAGAGACGAACGAGAACAATTGACACATTTTCTGGGTGAATAATTATAGGAATTGTTCAAACGTTTCTAGCGTTCAAAAATGCATACGAAACGTTCTTTCGTGAGACCTCCTATTCCTTTTTTTTCAATACCATATACAGTATAAATAACTCGAACATTACGCATAGAAGAATTATACGAGCGAGGACATCTTCAAGCATCATCAAGGAAATCTGTCCTTCGTCCTCGTTTTCTTTCGTCTCGGGCCACAACCAAGTGAAACGTACAGTACAGTATTTCATGCACTGAGGACAGAAATGCATTGATCAACCCATCGATTCAATTTTCAATCATAGAATTTTATATAAATAATTCAGAGAGTCAATCTTTGATTGCTTGATCGGGTCTGAAATGAGGAGTTACTGACGCGCGGATTGAATTGGCACTGTAACCGTCGGCAAATTGAAAACGCAAAAAATCGCCTCATCAAGAATCGGATCGATCATCGATCTTTCCAGTTCATTTAATTTCGTGGGATTCACCCATGGATAAACAACGACACTGAAAGTGTTCCGAAGACAAGTAAACTGTGAATGCGCCTTTGAAATTGAACGGGGAGAGTCGGTTTAATCTCCAGAAGAGCGTCTTATGTGTCCCAGACAAAGCAAACCAGCTTTTCATAGAAAAATATTTTTTGAACGAATCAGAATGAAACCTCTTCGAAATTTAGGCGCATTGTACTGTACGAAATTTACGATGAATCAATTACCACATTATATCTAATGTAAAACGCATCTATATTTTCCCCCATACATGGGGAACGGTTTTGCCTGCGAAGTTGAGGCGAACTTGCATAGGATGATGTACTGCATCACATTTTAAAATTTCAGAGGATTCTGTCGCTCTACAATGCTCATATTTTCTACAATCAGCGGATTGAACTTCTAAAACTCATCACCACCTCAACTGTTGCGTGCTTCAACTGATTACAGTCGTCAACAGTTCTTGAATTGAAATTTAAACTTGAATATCATTGAAAAATGGTTTAGACCGGAGGCTCCAATGCACTTCACCGGTGAGTCTAAGATGCCACCAAACATAAGACGAACCCTGATTTTCCAAGCAGATTTTCGCGCATCTTAAAATCGAGTAAATCAGGTTACGGAATGAAAATTGCTCAATTAAATCTCACCAGCTCGGGTACGAAAGAATGGATTGCACAGAGATGGTGCCCAAGACAGGATGGTACACGCCCAACTTCGCAACCTCGCGGCCCATTTATTTTCTCGTCGGCAAGTCGACGCATCGATTTTAACTTCGTCACTACGCTCATTCCGCGTTGCCATCAGTTAAGCAGATGCGGAACTTCGTATCATACCCTGCTGCACACGAAGCAGGGAGGAAGGGCCATCCGGGATGCCCCAGCTTTTCGGATTTCGAACACACCGCGAGGCAACTTACGGCCAGACCATCGGTACCGCTTCTTTTCAGACTGGGAACTCGAGAGAAACGAGCACAAGCTGCCCGCACTTGAACTCAGATCTGAACCACGAGCAGATAGGGCACATAGCTGCAGCGAAAACCAAAAAATGTCTCAAGGAGATAGGAGACTATTAGAAGTCAAGTCTATGAAAAATCCCGCGACATCCGTTCCGAAGAATTGTCCCAACATCCGAGCAATGTGGATCCCCGCACGGTACCGCATCTCGAACTCGGTAGCTGCAAACACATACGCAACTTTGCATTTCACTGTTATTTTCAGAATACATAACGTCGAGATCCTTTTAACCCTCAGGTCGCCCAGCTTGAACAAATAAAAACTTTCGAGAAAAACAACGATCGGGAATGTTATTGACAATGATACACAGCAGAGTTGCAAACAGCCTGCATCACCAAAATCAACCCTACGCATCGGCCAGCTGAAATTTTTTTCACGATTTTCAAATCTTCCACGCTCCATGGCACGCGCTAGTTTCAACCTGCCCCGGTGAACTGCGGAAGCTCTTTTTTCATTATTGACGAAAAAAGAATCTACCAACATTAATGGTAATCTCGTGATTCAATACGATCAATGATCGCTTCTGACGAGGGCCGACATAGAAGAAAAAAACGTGGCGCCGGTTTATTGTCGGCACGAAATCGAGCAAACTTTCGAAGCCTACTGGAATTCGCGGGCGCGACAAGAGACGACCGTACTCGACGGTGTCGCCGAACTGCGAGCTGACGGCTCCGCTTTGGCGACAGCCAGCTCGCGATCTCGCGGGTAATGGATTCCGCGTACAAGAAATATCTTCCCATGAAAAAAATTGAACGAATGTCACAACATATAGACACGGATTCGCGCAGAACTCCAACACAGTTGTTTTCACAGCAGCAGAAGAGGGAATCTCAGGTAGCGGGATGCGCCGGCGCACGCTTTCCGTGCAAAATCCGCTCAACGGGAGTGTCACAATTGGCAAACCTTTGCATGAGCAAATTTATTGAGAAACATAAAAAATGTGCCCACGCGGGGGGGGGGGGGGGGGGGGGGGGGGGGGGGCTGTGGCATGGTATTNAGAAAGAATACATGGAAAATCCGAACAGAAGGGGGGGGGGGCAGAGGGATTGCCACTCAATTGCTTCTGCAGGGCGATTCACGCAATGCACGAGCAATACAACACGTGTGAATGCCGTAATTCGGAGAATTATACGTACAATATACCGTACACTGCGTACAGTATTAATTTGATTCATCCCATTATTCGAACCACGTGAAAATTACTTTTCCGACGGATCAACAGTTGAAAATATGAATGATGCCCACCTTTTTCATTCAAAATTTGATTATCATCGAGTCATACAAACATGAGTCGTACAATTATTTGAACTGCTCTTGACCTTCATCAGCCCCAAATATAAGAATTATGCCGTTAATACGGAATTTGTATCAAACGAAGGAGTCATAAGGAGAAAGACGAAAAGTCCTGACATCATTTCACCACCAAGGGCTTGGTGCTTAAGAAAGGAAAAAACTACAATTGCGAGCCTTTTTTCGGCAAATCCCAGTGTGATTTGAACACTTCTTTTCTAATAGATAAGGAGACAATAAAACATCAAGAAACCTTGGTTAATTACTATTTGGTGAAACGGACGCATCGAAATTGAACTTATCAGTGCGACTTTTTTACACGCTCTATTTCGCAACATGAACTAAATTTGAACCTGTTCGGAGAAATCGGTGCGTTCTCACAAATTTGTCTTCAGGTTTATTTTTCATAGACTCATCTACTTGATGATGAATTGGATCCTATCTTGCTGAATTAATTTCGTGTCGTTTTGCTTGACATTAAACAAATGCCATACCAGCTGAATCATTTTCCTTCGATGGAGCACCTGCCAAAAACAGGTGAACAACCAACCATCATAACAACGTGAAAAAGGAAAGATGAGCACTGGTTTTGTTGCAAATCCAGCGACTGAATTGATGTGAGCTCGAAAATACGCAGTCAATCTTTTGAAATCAAATTAAAATCGTGAATTCACCAATACGCTACACAGCATTTAAAAGTAACATCATGCTAAAAAAAAGTTGGCGGTCAAGCATCAATAAATGCAACCTGGTCCATTGAGAAAATCAAGTTCGCATTTGATTCGTTCACCTGTCACGAAGGCCAAGAGATCTTCTGTCATCAACCAGGATAAGGCGACGGAAGAACCATAAACTGCGCGATTATGTAAATGTACCTTGCTTCCTCCTTGCGGACTCATTCCCGACGCCGCGCGATTGCTCCGAGTCTGAATGCGAAATCCCATTTCTGGGCAATGAGCATGTTCTGGGGGCTTCACAAAAGTTACTACACTACGAAGCTTTCTCATATGCGTTCTGGGCATTTAAAAAACAGCGCTAAATCGATTATGCTTAACCCCCAGGAAAGACTGCCTCCTTTTAATCATCAAGTTTAGCAGTATATGAATAAGCTGCATAGGAATGTCCAAAATTTGTGACCAGGGACTACAGGGAGAAATAATTATTGTGCTTGAACTAATTGTATCACAAAGAATATATAGCCAGGCCCTCTTTTGAAATGCATTTTATATTCTGCGACAGACACAAGGACTTCGTCGAATTGAAAAATTTTTGAAGAAGTCCGAGAAACTTGATTCCTCGAACACCAATGCAGAGATAAAAAGTTAATTTTTTTAAACTGTTGTAGAATGTTGACATCACTCGCCTCAAAATACATCTGAAATTTGAGATCAAACATTTTGCCAACTGGACCTGCGAAAATATGTACAGGAGTTTTTGGAGAGATATGAGCTGGTCACGTGAATGAGTGCCGTCTTCTGCATTACAGTATTTTCACAACTTCATTCGTACAGGTAGTGTGCCTCTATTCATGAAATTGATCTGGTGAAGTTAGAAGTCCATTGTCCGAAAAGCATGCAAATCGAGTAATTTAACGCTGCTTATAACGGTTACTTCGTTATAGATTATAAAAATCCCTTCGGTAAGCACAGTGATTGTGAAGCGAATTGAAGTTGGCTATTCGCTTCAGGTCTCTTTTAAATTTCAATCACAAATTCTTGTATGGATGGACAAATTAATGAGGCATATGTTCATCACAATAAAAAATCACAATTATATGATATACAGTACGGTATATGATGGCGAGCTTTTTGCCCAGCATCAACCTAGATTTTCTCGAGGGACAATACTTTTTCATGCAGTGTATTCGAGGTGAAATTTTGTAGCAGCCCGATTCCATCGTGCAGAAAAAAAACTGCTCAGTACTGCACCAAGCTGCGTTCAATGAAATTCGGGAATCCGGTCACGAAGATTTCCCATGTTGAGGAATCCGTAAATAGAAAAGAATCAAGAAATAAAAAGGCAAGCATTGACCGAGTCCCGAAATGGGTGATAAAAGTTGTTGAATCTCCAAGCAACAGGAAAATAGCGCAAAGGTTTGCGGCGAAGTTCAAAAATCTGCGAAAGGCGACTCGTTGAAACGCAGTCAAGCGATGAACTCGCTGGCAGGGCAGGGCTTCTTCACGCGTCTAATGAAGAACGGAAGGCATGCACTTTAAAGCCAGAAAGTTGCCGAGTCCACGGGGAATTCAGCTGCGTTGTTCGAGGGAAGGGTGGAAGCATGCTCCTGCTTTTAATGTGATCAAGTGAAGAGGCTAAGGTAATAAGATCAAGCCACCATCAGAATAGGGAGCGCATGAACCAAGAGGAAATAATGCCCTTCGCTGGCACTTGACAGTGCCTGTCCTCATCTACATCGTGTCCAGGAAATAATTCCCTAGACCGAGCCGTTCGATAAGGAATAAATCGCTCTCCTGGGATGCTCATTTAGAACGTCGAGCACGTCTTCAGAATGAGAAACGACGAAAAGATGATTGATAGTACAGTATACGCGCAAGTTTAACTTGGCGCACAACTATTCGAAAACTTGTCAGAATCAACGAGGATTACGATTATAATCCCAACATAACTGCATCATGTATTACAATTTATAATTTCCAGGATGTCGGAATTTTACTTCACAGATAAAAAAAAAAAATTACACGTCATATTTGCCGCTATCGGGGAAGCTAATGGTGTGTTAAATTCAGCTACCTTGCTTACACACTTCCTAGACCATCCCTAATTTAAAAAAGGCATTCCGCTCATAAGGGAAAACTCGTATTTTTCCAAAAAGGGGAGAATGATAAACTTAATTGGCGATGAAAGCTTCATGAGAGCAAAACACACTACTACTTCATTGCTGTGTGTGCATGCATTCTGAAATGGGGGAAGTGAGCCAGGGTAGGGTGTAATCCCCATCTCATTCCTAAATTTTTATAATCTCAAGTATTGGCCGCAGCGATGAGACTGCGTAGAATATCTAATAATTATAATTGAATATCTCCTCTGCTGTGGCACACCACAAATGTTCGTGGAAATTTCCGGATAAATATGGCAGTACTCATTTGCATGAGAAAAGGTACAGAATTTATGCATCTACAGTACCTCACAATTCAATCATAAAATCGGCATTCCGGAATGCAAAAAGTAATCGCCAGTCAAAGCCGGAATTCATCATTCGTGTTCCAACGGTTAAAAATAAAAAATAAAATAAAAATGGGATAAACCGTAAGAAGTCCATTGTATTACAGTCGGTGCTTCGGACAGGTAGCAAGTAAACTGATCGGTACTAGCAACGCTATTCAGGGCGTAATCCGAACAAAGTAACAAGCACGGATGAACACGAATCCAAAATCGAAAACAAATTTAATACTCCGGCGCGATTGATTCACGTCTGACAAATTGATTAATCTAGTTCGCAATATGATACTCTCCAATACAGGTACATGGCGCAGTTTTGATGGAAGCGTACAGAAAACTGTGAAAGGACTTTGTTTCACACAGCTCATTGAGAGAAGAAGTAAAAAAAAACACTCACCGTGGCTCTCTCGAGGAGCCTCGCCGATGCAGTCATTCTGGATCCGCTCGGAGCACTTTTTGTGCACATTCAGCTTACAGTCACGACACTGCATTCCCTGACGAAGCAGTCCCTTCAACAGTTTCCGACAACTGTGACACATCGTGGGTCTCGTGTAAGTGTGGACAACGAACGTGTGTGGGATTTTCAGGCCGATGTTCGACGCGGGGCGACCCTCAGCCCAGCAACCTCGCCCGGCACTCATCGTGGGTGAGCGCGGCGGCGCCAAGCTCGGAGTGCGACTCGACGGCTGCGAAGAACACAGAATTTGAGAAAACCCTGTCAGTCTTGAATCAACTAACGTGTTTCTGGAGTGAAAGGCAGAGGAATTATTCACAGCAGTATCCAGGATTATAGATTTTCTCCGCATTGGACACAGGTTGACACAAATGTGAGGTGGATACCGGAAAACCTGCTTCAAATTATCGACGCCATCAAAAGTGATGGCTATTCAAAGCAAATCGACGTTGCTAAGGGAAATAAGGCCGAAAAAGAAATTATTTATGCTAAAGAAAACTTTTATATTGATTCCATTGAGCCTCCTTTTATTTGCTTCCGAGTGAACAATTGTTCGCTGCTACTTCGATATATTTTATCCAGAACAGCTTTTCTCGCGATTTATTTAGGAATTTTTCCAATAAATTTACGAAATTAAGTCCTAAGGAATCTGTAATGGATTCGCCATTTCATATATAGGTAGCTTCGCATCACTCGGGAATGTCTGGTGAACGAAAATTTACCATCGGTGGAATAAGGTAAATCTTTGTTTCACATTTCAAACCAATTGATTTGCTACGATACTGACGCATGCAGTCATGGACGTCACACGAACATTGTTTTATTCAGTTCCATTTGACTAATGAATAATTTAAATCTATTATAGCGATCAAAAGTCGTAAATTGGAGATTCTGCCATGCACAGCAATCATGTAGCCTTTGGTAAGAATTTTCCATGAAGATCCCGGGATGGATTTCATGTGTATCAATTATTTCGTACCATGGGGAATCGGAGTGGTTTCCAGGCCAATAACTTCAGTTCTACCTTGACGGACAGACGAGTAAATGTCTCGTTCAAGAATCATCTATAATTTCCAATCATGGTCATACGGCTGATCCTCAGCAGCGCGGAAAATCGTTAGAAATGCATTTACGTCATGAGCAAAAGTTCACGTTCGAAATGGTTTATCGTCGGAGCCCTACATGTAGTCACTAGATATTTTTTTTTTTTTTTTTTTGCGAGGCGCGCAACCACTACGAGCAAGCCGAAAACTTCAAGAAACCTCTAATCGATGAAGCGCACATCCGAGCAAATCAAATCAAGAGATTGCATTCCGTGATCAAAGTCGCTATTTGCAAAATAGCTACGTAGAGGGCTTCTCGGGGAGCAGTTCATTTTATTTAGCTTCCGCTTTGTTTTTCAATCCCTCTCAACTAACCTGGCTGGATGAATCTTCCGACGTGTATCCGATCCCAATGCTGCACGTCGCTGACGGTGATGGCTGCAGCGGAACCGGAAGCAGGTTATGAGATGCCGACGGCCGTCTTCGTGTATCCTGGCATCCGTTCGGAATCCTGCTTACACATCTCTTGTGGAAATTCTGGTTGCAGCCTAATCGGACAAGAGAAAAGACAACGAAGCCTTATCCTCTATGCAAAATACGGTAAATGCATTTTCAAATGTTGATGTCGGAGAACGGTAGGAAACCGATCGTGATTCTAGTACACATGAGTGATCGTACTCTTCTCACTCAAATGGATGATTCCCCGAGATAAGCGTGCGGATAGAAAAAATCCCGCGTCACGAAGTACCGGAGGTAAACTACATAAATATAAAGAATAAAAAGCTTCAAAAGTGAATCCTGCAAAATAAGAACTCAAAAAGTATTTGGATTTCAAAAATAATTATTTTTCTATTTTAACGTACGCTATATCCCTCACTTCGGACGTTTTGAGATTTTTTTGCTCATTCACGTCTAATGGTAATCCTAATGAGGGTACCCAAGAAATAAAATTAATTTTTGATATACAAGCTGAAAGCGGTTTTTGTTCGGTTGTTTCCCGAAGAAATCTTCGATACTTCGTTAAAAAAAACAGCATGCACTTTAAAAAAATAACTTTAAATCAATCGAACAGTTGAAACTTTTCCAGTTATACGTAGATTTGCTTCAGGATACCTGAAGACATCGAAAGGCAGTCCCAGCGGGATTTTCTCCTGCGCCCATCCCATATGAACACAAACTTCATGAACAGTATGGAGAAGAAGATATAGAAGCAGACAGTTTCTTGGAAGTCGTCCCAAAAAATATATATGCAGCGTGAGATTCAGGCAATGTCAGATTGAGTGGATCACTTCTACGGGAAGGAGAGTTCGGGAATTCTCTCTCGACGAAAATAAAATGAAACTCTGATGCAGCATGAAACGCTGTCTTCTTGGACCAGTGGAGCTTCAGGCCGGAGGTCGGCGTAGCGAAAACCTACGAAAAGCTTACCTCGACATTGAAGCCCTTGCTTCATCAACCCGAAGAGCATTTCCCCACAAGAATCGCAGAACGTCGGGGTGCGATAAGAATGAACGTCAAGTTCATGCGGCCTAACGACCGTGATTTGCTCTTCCGGCGGCAGCGTGGCTGCAAGGCAAAAAGAACCAGACGAGAATAGCAGATTAATGCTCGCGGAAATCGCGCGAGCAGCTCGGAGGGATTACCGTTCAAAACAATTTCCACCAGCGTCTCCGTGGTGATGTCCGCTGCAGAGTTGATGAGCGCCAATTGGTTCTGGTTGCTGTAATCGTGCCGGAAAAGTATGAGCCTTTCGCTCAGCCGTCCAAGGCCGTGACCCGGAAACTGCAAAAAAAGAGAGAACAAGACATGCATTCGATGAGCTAGTTCCGAGGGTCGCAGGCACCATATAATCCATCAAGAAGACAATTTATGTCGGTGCCAGATATGACAAACAGCGGCAAGTCAAGCAGCTGCACACACGCTACGCGTATCGAGAGCTCATCCAAAAGCTAGCCCAGGACAGAAAGAACGCGATTCGAAACTAGCATAGAGACCGAGTGGCCCCCACGACGTCGACACACTTTTTCTCCTAGTAGCTGGCCTTCGTTCCCTTGACGATTCGCGAGAGCCAAGGGTGAATATAGTCGCATCCCTTGACGGAATTGCTGCTCTCGCGCGAAGACGTCAGCAAGACATGACTCCACAAGAAAAAACCAAAAAAGTCCCACTGCTATCACTCATGCTATTTTTTCCTGAAGAATCCCGAGTATTTCGACCTTTGTGACGCAGGGAGCCCTTCTTAAAACGTGTTTTTCAGAGGAGCCCTTTACTTCTCAAAAGAGCATGACCAAGTCCGTCAGATCTAGCTTACGTTTCACAGCTTAATTATACCCATATTTACAGAGCGTTACACAGATGTTCAACACATCCTTTTTCGCAGACCTATAGTCTTAATTTCTTGGGCCTATTTCACTTCACTATCTTATATTTATTGCCCCTTCTCATTTGATTCAAAGCAATAATGTTCTGTTTTTCCAGAAGCGTCATCTGTAGAGTCCCAGGGACGTTTTATGCATTGTACAGCCAATAAATGCTGCGTGATGCACAGGTTGAAAATCACGGGTAAAATCTACGGAACAGTGAACGCATCGACCATACTTCGGGCAAGATTTTCCAACCGAAGCATTAAAAGATCATTTTTCTTGCTCTCACAAGTCATCTGGATTCATCAAGACATCGTTATTTTGAAGCGTTCATTCCCAAGGTTTCAACGCGAGAAGAAAACTTCATCACAAAGCATTTTCAGGTATTTCGCTTCAGTCAATAAAAAATTATAACTCCGGTATTAGATGTCAAGACCTTTCACGCAAAAAATAAAGAAGAGCATACGGATTTTCATAAAATCTGAATAACGCTTCATCATGGAGCTTAGTTGGTCCCCGCGAGCAATCTGTTTATTTTTTATTATTCTTCTTCGGTTATTATTCTGGCATAATTGACGAAGCAGGGATGCAACGGCAGAACGCCAGACATATTTTATATAATCGCTTGGCAGGAATTTTTTTTTCGAACTCGTAAGGTAAAAAGTTATGATACTTCAAAATGTTTCTTAGCCAAGGCGAGAGAGATAGCAAGAGAGGGAATCAGTGCTGTTCATGTGTTCTAAAATTTGAGCATTTTTTCATTTTTAAGTACTGCACAGTACTGTATTCGCATCAAAAACATGACAAAAGGGGAGGCCTGGTTTCCATGCAGAATCCGGAAAAATGTTCCCAGATAGAAAAATTACAGCATTTTATTATTTCTTCGATAACTTTTTCTTAATGGAACACCTCTCAAGGAAATGTGGTTACGTCTTTCAAGCATTAAGAAACACCGAAGTCTAGCAGGAAATCATAAAAAATATTATTAAGTCAGACATTGATAGAGCCAGGTTTTGTATGATGTTGGCAAGATAAAGTTGAAAACTTTTTTCAACTGCGGATGATCAAGATTAATGGAACATTCCATTCAACCTGATCATCTGGATATAATCATATTCATTGGCAGCGCAAGTGGAACAAACGAAACGATCGACGGTTGGTTCCTAATTATTCATCCTCGACATAATCCGACGCCAAAAAAAAAATGCGACGAATCAATTTTGCATCAGGACGTCATAATGATGCGCAGGGAATACGTAAGTCTCGGAACAAAGGCGCGTCCATGATTATGCTTCGGACTCATATGCAGTACTATCGTTTGCTTTCGCCGAGTTGACTCAAACGTGAAATTCCACCCGCTTCCAGGTCCCTCATTGTACCGAACCTGTGTCATCAGGATTGCTAGGCGCAGAGTATTTCGAGAGTTCAATGAAGCATCCAAGGACAGCATTGTGGGCTTCCACTCGGACGACGCACCGGGCAAGCTACTGCCAATGCAGACCGGATGGAATACTCGTCGGTCATTAATCAAAATAACGATGTTGAGATTGCTCCGTGGATGCGTTCCGTTTCCATCCCAGGAAGCCCGACAGCCGTGGGGCCTCGATCTCGTGCCCTCGCACTGTGGCAAGGTAATTCGATCCACGCTCCCTCAATAAATTTCAATTAATTCCACAAATGTGGGTATACGAACCGGAACGCCGAACACGGGTCGAACAAGCCTGAATTAGCGAACGAGCCGGTGAAGTTTTTACATTTTTTTCTTGATATGTTCTCACTCGACGTCTCATGCAGCTATCGAACTCATAGCGGGCGAAGATAAGCAACTTGAAAAACAAACTTGGGCGGGAATCCCCGCACGAATGATTGCATTCACAGCAGAACATCGGCTATTCGGGCTTCAATTAACTCAGACTTTGATTTAACGGATCCCAAATTTCGCACCCAAAAAATCCTCGCATCCTAAGTCCCTGGACTCGGCAGCCGGCCTTTCAACGATCCCTACCAAAATGTGCTGAAATGACGGTGTACTTCGGAACCTTAATTATCCAGGCGGCAATGACAGCATGAATCACGGATAATAACAATTAACAAAATATTCATGTTGAAACAACTTATTGTTGAATTAGCAGCCTTCACCAGAATTTCAAGAACAGCAATAACGAATTCTTGAGGTATTGTCAAAGTAATAGAATATTTTAAAATGGTGGGCATATTCGGGGTATGGAAGAATCCAGAAACTCATGGATTTGCGCCCAAACTTTGAGACATGGTTTTTTCAAGTGCACGATTAATTCAGCCAAGGATAATCAAAGTTCTACAGTACTTTTCATGTTTACGGGCGCCTCGAAAATGTACAATGTCCCGTTTATCTTTGAGATTCAACGAAGATCGGCAGAAATTAGATCAAGGAGACGTGGAATCAAATTTTCGATGGCTCGAGATTTCTCGTTAGACGAAGAGTGAGTCTACAGTTGCAAAACGGCATTGAAAAGAAGGTCACAATGCGGAAGCAAGCAAATGCAAATCGTATTTTTTTCATAGCGAAATCAGCGGTGTTCGACAAAGTAGTGATCTTCGAAAGCGTATGAAAAATCCATCATTCCGGATGAAGCAGATCAAGATTCAACCAAAAGATATAGTTGACGAGAAGCAACACGGAGCAGATACAGCTGCGCGTTCCCCGAGGCAAGAAACGAAGTCCTGAAGACATCATCGTTCAACTTCTGGAAACCTACACCACGCTTCCGGAAAACCTTGTCCAAGGACGCTGACGTCCGCATCACATTCTCCTTCGGCACGCGCCGGAGATATTAATATGCAAATGCTCTCGAAGCGTGTTGAAGCAGTTGGTCGAAAGTGCATCCGTGTGCAAGAGTCGCAATATTTCAAAGTTCACTCATGGTTTTGGGCCAGCGCTTTAAAGATCCGACGAAGTCCCGATCACGAAGAGGTTACAAACAAGTCGGAAGGCCATGAAACTTTCATAAACAATGCCAACCTTTACGGTACATGAGCAGGCAAGAAAATAAGATCAGAAAATCAAAGGTAACAAGGGCATCAAGACTGGAAAGTTCGATGTTGAAGATCATGAAGTTCACGAAAATGCATTAACCTACGGATTCTACCATGGCATCCTTCATTTTCGAAGTTCCAACATGGCGTATGAAAATGCGTGCTGAGGCATCCGCGTGCAAGATTCGCAATACAGTACTGTTGATGAAATTTTGCTCATAGTTATTTCTAACAGAGCTTTACAATTTTTATGAATACGTCCCAGTCACAGAGAGATTCTAAAAAAATCGGGAAGCCATAACAATCCACAAACAATGAAGACCTTAACGGTGAATATAGAACAAGGAATTTGTGTTCTTAGAATCATAAACAAAGAGATAATTAACCTTATGGTAAGGGCGGTAAATGCCGGAAAGTTCAAAGAGAATCTTGCAGAGATCCTCCACACTACGCGTGTTCAGAAGATATTCATGAAAATGCATCAGCTTGCTTCCAACTCGTACGCATTCTCCTATGATGTCTTCCTTTTCGGAATTTCCAACATGGTTTAATCAGGATTTGAGCCATCAGCCCACAGATAGGAGAGTAAACCTTTTCCTCTTCCAGAAAATCGTAGCTTCATGTATCCATCGCGGACGGAATTAACCTTTCGCGTATCCCCGGATAGCAAAGCTAGTTTCCTCGTGCCATCTGGAATCCCTGATTCATGCCTTCGTAACGACCCGCGTGTCGGACAATCGGGTCGAAAATTGCAGCAATTGCCGTTTCCTCTGACAGGTCATATTCCAGGCGGCTGAATCATTCCACAGCTCCGCCATTCGCATAAAAAACCCGAAGGAGTCCGATCTTTCACATAGCACAGGAAAAATAAGCTTCAGAAAAAATGCGACTCAATCAGTTTCGGTCAGAATTAGGACAAATTTGGAGCTAATTCCATGACTTCGCCACATAACGCACCAGACAAGTCATCACTGAAAAATCTTAAAATCTTGGCAAATAACATTCGTACCAAAATACCTTTACTTCAAAAATACCTCCCTAAGAGCCCGCGAAACGATTCGATCTTTAACGTTAAAAAACAAGGCGTTAAATACAAACCCAGTATCTTATAGAGCAGTAGTTCAAAATTACAGTACTTCATTTCCAATTCATGGTTTTAGTTGCATTGCTATGAGGCGGTACGAACATTTCGAATAACCCTGTAGAGGAAATTACTATTTGTTTCCGCTTAGAAGGATTCAAGGAGGTTCTGCAAAGGTTTTCCAGCTACGCGTATATATAATTGCCTAGCCCGACAATTAAATTGGTTTTCAATTGACGTTGTCCAACGTTATAAACCGTTTTGAACCAATCGCCGTTCAATGCTCAGGTTATTTGTTTTCTGGTTCACCTTGCCTCGTGCATACACGTTCTAACCTTACTTTATTTCGGACTGACTCACGCGAGCAGAAAAATTTGAAGTTAATGAACATAGCAAATAGTAATAGCCCTCACGTTTAAATACCTCGACTAATTTTGCACGATTTTTGTGCAGCAGTCTTTCAGGTTTTACTCATGGAAGAACACCCAAATCACGCAGACGAACTCAAGTTGCGTCATTAATTTTGAAAGAATGATTTCGGTACCCGTCGAAATAATGAAACAAAACTTACGACTTCGTCTCAGCACATTACGTCAGCCAATCATAAAATCTACAGACAGATTCGATAGACGGAAACATTTCGGGACAGTTCTCAAAGGTTTCCGTTGATTCACATCGAAACAAGTTGTCAAGCGACATCGGGTTCATCAACGGTTCTAGCAAGAAAATAAACATTTAAAAAGCTCAAAACAAACGGAAATAATGAGCAGCGAGGAAAAAGCCGCCCTCAGGACAAGTGCATTATACGAGATGAAAAAAAAAGAACCCAAAATATATCCCTAAAAAGACGAACTCTTCCACTCGGTTTCATCAGACCGGGTACGTCGCGACACAGCAGAAATGGGAAGCCCTGGATATTCTCATGTATGCGTTCCCACGAGCTTCGGATTAATCCGAGGACATCAATCTGACCTAAACGCATCAGAACAAATATGCACACGCGTCACTGCATGGTTCGCGTCGAGGAAAAAAAAAAAACGCGCTCGGATGTCGGCAAAAATCGCAATAAATCCATGACATTGCACAAAGGTTGGCGCGGGACAGCAACACAAAGGAATAAAAACTAAAATGCCAGGTGAAAATATTGCTTTGAAAGTAGATTCGGCATAAACTTTTCGTCCTATCCGATTCTAGGAAGGCTTCAGGCCGCCCTGAACTCCACACAAAGCGGTTTTTTAAGCGTTTGATAAGACTAGTCAATATTTTGAGTGCCGGTAGACATTGCATTAACTGGTTCACTCACCTGCTCCCAACGAGAGTTCCGGAGGAAGTAATCTGCTCTTGGATATCTTCAGATTCTCCCAAAAGTTCATTTGAAATGGTACCCATTCGCTACGGTATGTTACGTTGTCAGAGGCAGAACTGATGAACTAAAATGCTGACCCGTGACATTCAATTCAGAAATTTGATCGGCGACGACACGAGCATTCCTCGCAACTTAAGACGAGGGAATCTTCCCCTAAATTAAATGCGATAACATCTTGAAAACCATTCTGGTAGAGTACATGTTCTGTGTGCGGATAGACACGCTTCACGATGGACCCTCGGGAAGAAACTTGGAAAGGCTTTCGCTTCCAAACGCGTTTTCAGTGTAAAATGTAGTCACACATTTTTTACGAGGACCTCATTCAGCCAGAACGGTGCTGCGTCGACCTCGAGAACGGGTGTCAGCGAGTACACAAGGGTTGCGGGGAATTTTTCTGAAGATATCGTCTCCACGCTCTGACGCATTTATCTTCACGGCCGTGAAGAGAATTGCGTGATTTAGTAACTGGAAAGCCGTTCATCAAGTTTTTTCCCCACTCGCTCCCTGTGTAGACACCCGAGTCCGTGAGAACGAAAATGGCGAAGATTTGTACGATTAAGGAGGAGCAAAAACATTGCCAGAATTAAATAATTCGAAAGAGTTACGGTACAGCATTTCCATGTGCATTTGAATGCATGTAGAACAGGACAAATTATCGCTGCCGTTCATGACTAAATCAACAGATGCTGAGTTTGCGCAAAAGATTAGCCCTTTCATTTCCACAAGTTGAATAAGGAAGATGAAACGAAAATTCATTAAACCAAACCGAACCAATTTAACAACTGCCGCTTAAAGTCATCGGTTAAAAAGGCATGCGAAAATTGCCGGAGAACTACCGATCGTTACAGTCGACAAGAGAAAACGGGACGTCTCATACTTCACGAGGAACAAAGCATCCGCCGTCTGTTGGAGAAGCATGAAATGACACGTGATTAATAGGAGGAGTCACGAAAATGCCCTTCCTTTGAATTCGGCAACAAAATAAATAGCGGATTTTTAAACCGAGAAAAGCTTTTAGAGCACACTCTACAACGGAACACCAGTTCTTGAAAGGATGGGGTC